TCTCAACGAGAGTTTTCAAAAAACTTCTGAGTGGGTAGCACAACAGTGGGTATTTACTCCCTGCATCTCTTCTGCCTCAAGAAAGAGCCCATGAGCTTGGATTCCCCCCAGGATCAGAAGTCCAGGGCCATCTGTGCAGAGAGACTCTGCTGCCACCCTCTGTGGTAGCAGAGATGATTCAAAACACTAACTAAATAAAATGCCAAGCACTCTAATTAAAGTTCTAGGGACAAAGATCTCTACTTGTGAAAGAACTTACCCAAAGAAAAGCTACTAGGATATAACTAAATAGGGAAAGTAATATCAGTGATTTCTAGGTATTGGCACACAAGGAATTAAAGTGAGGTTGGTACATGAATGACTTGAATGTTGAAGCAGTAGCTATGTTAACCAGTCTATTGTGGCTACATCTGAAAAGCTGTAAAAGAGAATGCACCTTAACTATGTGTTTATCTCTGTTAATGAATGTAGTCCACTGCTACAGATACCTCTTTTTCTGAAATCCTTAAAGAAGTATATAGGTAAGGGAGAACAAAAGTATTTGTTGTGAGGCTGTCATCTTAATCTGAAATTCAGTACAGGCACATAACTGACTAATAGCTGCATTTGGTCAAAATTATGTTTCATCCCTCATGAGACAGATAAAATACTGAGAGCAAAAAGCTTCTGAAAGGGATTTCTATTAATTATTAACTGATTAAAAGCTACTTTTCCTGACCACACTAGTGATTAAAGTCTATTTGAGGGAAGATAGGATATTTGTTCTTTTGCTCTCACCTCTGTCAGAGCAGCCCCTATTTAAATAAGCACCATTTCCTACCCTGCACACACAATTACATTTCTCATTCACAACCCTAGTATTCCTGCCTGTTAAACCATTGATTGCAGTGGTCATCAGGGAACACAGAGGCTGAGTGCTTTAGCAGAGGAGCCAACATCTAATCAAGTATCTTGGACAGGTTTTTTTTTCTTTTCACAACATGCACAAACCAAGTGCTGTCCCCAGCTGCAGCAAAGGCTCAGTTTTGGTGAACGGGAAATCTACCCTTTCTCCAGGGCCTCCATAAGGCAGCAGTTTTCTGCCTTTTCTCCTCACCATCTCCACATTCGATTTATTTTTCTCCAACTCTACCCCATCAAACTACATAAGCTTCTCAAGCAGATGATTCTCAGGCCATGTTCTATGCTGTATTCTGCATGGCAGTGGTGTGGAGGCCTTCACAGGTACTCTGTAACAGGTCATTCATCCAGACTGGTCACAAGAATTAGAATTTAGCTTTAAATCTTCCATTTTTCAGAAACAGCAGAAAATAAACTAAAATCATAGAATCATAAAATGGTTTGCATTGGAAAGGGCCTTAAGATCATCTAGTTCCCACCTCCCTGCCATGGGCAGGGACACCTTACACCAGACCATGTCACCCAAGGCTCTGTCCAACCTGCTCTTGAACACTGCCAGAAAGAGCATTTACCACTTATTTGGGCAACCTGAACCTGTCCCACTGCCTCATCCACAAGTAAAGAACTTCTTCCTTATATCTAATCTGAACTTCCGCCATTTCAGTTTAAACCCATCAGCCCTTGTCCTGTTGCTGCAGTCCCTGATGAAAAGTTCTTCTCCAGCATCCTTGTAGGCCAAGCAATTTCAATTAGCTTTGTAGTTAAACAGCACTTGGAAATACTACTGCCATGTGACCAAAATATTACTCTCTTTTTATCATCTAAAAAGAGTCACTCAAAAATAAAATAAATAAAAATCACTCGTTGTCACTGAAAACTAAGAACATTAGATCCTTATTTACTTAGCTAGCAGGTGAGGGAAAGAAACCTGGCATGCAAAACAAGAATTCCTTTTAATGCCTTAACAGACTTTTCAACTGGACATTCTGATTTTCACTTGTTTTCAGTCACAATGGGGATCATATATTCATCTGAACAGTACCAATCTTCTTATTTTTCCTAAATGATTAATTTTTTCTTCACCATTTATCCTTATTCAAGTATCTAGATACATACTGAAAATTACTATTAGAACACACAATAAGTTTTCTTCTATATTTAGCTTAATAAGGTTATTACAAAGTAAGAGAACTTCACAGAAGAAACAGAAAAAAAGCAACTTAGTACCCTGACATCTCCTAGCATATCACCTGCAGAGAGTTATGGTACTGTTTGCAAAAAAGGTAAAATCTTTTCCTTTATTACTTAAAAAAAAAAGGCAAAATATATCCATCTTAGCAAGTAAAATCCTCCTGGTCCACTTCACAATCCTGACCAATCTTCTGAAGCAGGGTTAAAGCAGTTAATCATTATTTCAATAGAGAAAATAGAGATCTGCTTCTCTTTATTAGTATCAAGGGAAGAAGGTGATAGGTGAAGAGGATGTAGTCTGTCATTTCCAACATCTTCCTTCAAATGACAGTTCAGATGGTACAGGTCAAGAGTTTTCAAATTTGGGCTGCAAACCTCAGCATGCAAATATGAGCTGAAGAGGGAGGAAGTTACAGACATCACACTTCTTCCTTTTCTGTTAACACTTCTATTAAAAATTGAGTTCCAAACAATTGTGATTGTCATTTGCACAGCTACCTGGCAAACTCAACCACCATGCTGAAATAACAGGCATGTGGACTGCTGCAGTTATTTCAATAAATGCCATATGGATTTTGGAATTTGGTAATCATGGATCTGGCACCTCTTTTATAATGTATTTGGGATAGATCGGAATGTTTTTATGAAATTCCTATAAGCAGGTGTTTCTGCCTCACTGAGGCTAAACTACCTTTTACTCTTCAGTTTCCTGTAAGGAAGATGGAATTGGAAATCAAGCATGCCTGTCTGCGTTGGCCCACCTCTTGCCTTCCCCTCCCTGATTATTTCTTTAATTTCTTAATAAAGTCATACTGAACAGCCTATTACTTCCTAACTACTCCAGTAGATGATTCTGTTGTTACATTAGCTAGTAAAAGGTGTTTAATAATATTGGAAAGAAGACATCTGTGTTCATGAACTGAATTTTGTAAGAGAAAGCTTAAGTTTATTAAAAGCAAGACGTGAAACAGTCCCAGTACAACCTCCCTGCAAGCATCAGATTTATCCCAGAAATAATTACAAGCTGCTAAGAGACTTAAATCACAGTCAACATGCTGAGTACATTAGGAAACCTATCTAGCCTGACAAGCAAAACCAAGGTTTAGCTCTCATTGTAATTTGTCACAGACACTCAAGTACCTGGGAAAAGTAAGTTTTTACAGAGTTGTGATGAATTATCCCTTACTAGGAGAAGGAATGCCAGCAGCTTCTACCCAGTTTTCCCCATTAGATCCCCACAAAGAAGGAGCACTGATAAGGTTTGTTCTGTTACTGTAACATTTGTAATTTTACTGCAATATTTGAAATTCAATCTTAACACAGCCAGGGAGAAGGGAATGATTTTGACTAGGGCCTTTGGGTATATCATCCACCAGGAACCTCTGATAGCAAAAAGTATTCTGAGACAGAAAATCTTATGCCTGTTAAAAGCATTAAGAGCAAGCTCAAATGCAGAGTTTCCATACCAAATGCCAAAACTAACGCAGGGAACCATGGCTAGACAACCTAAATTCAAACTTCATGCTTTATACTTCAGGGCAGTTTTCAACACCTATAGACAGCATTCATATTTCTTCTGATACCACAAAAATACTGACTCAATCCTGAGGTCTACTGCCACAGTGCTGTTTTTTAATGCTGACCACCACAAGCTGCAGAGGGGGGGACAACCCTGTTTAAGAAAGAGCAAGACAACTGACACAGCTGTAGCTTTTAGAATGAGTTCATCTGCAGAGCTCTGTAACTTCATCACCTCAACTGACATGATGTAGCAAGGAATCCAAAGCAAACAGCCATATTTTTGATGGGAGATTAGCAGCATGTTCTTCTATCTAAAGCGTTACTCTTGAGTATCTCTTTTGTTTTAGAAGAGGGGAAAGAATAAGAACTTATTTATGACTTTAATTATTTCCATACATGTTAGAATTGGCCTTCTCCCAGATAAACAATGTTCATCCCCTTATACTAACTGTTTCCATTCAAAAAAATCACAAAATTCTTCCCACTCTAGTTTTGCAGAAATACCTGCCATAGCTGTATATACTATTTTATGTTACAGTAGAGGCTATTCTAATGAGCTTCAATCCAGTTTATACTTTTCAATGTCATTTGCTTTTTTAAGTTTCTAAGCAGAAGCAAAGCACCTTTTAACCCCTCTTAAAGGAACTTCAGGAACAGAAGATATCTCAACTGATCTTGAAACTAAAGGAATGTGGGCCACAGGAAATCTGACAGGTACTCCACACAAAAGATTAATTAAGACTTTTTGCAATATTTACATACATTTCCCCCATCTTCCTCAACTACTCTTTTATCACACTGTGTGGTTTTGTTCATACAGAGCTAAAGACACATGAACACATTACCTCTGCATTACAACACTCCTTTTAAATTAAGATAACATGGAAACTACCCTGATCAAGCTCTGTTCACAGAAACTGATTAAACATAAAAGAATGAAAAAAAAATAAAGTTTGCTGTCCACTCACTTTTCTGCAACACAAAAAAAAACCCTAAAGAAAAGTATTGTAACAGGCTATGGAAAACAGAAGAAAATCACAGAGAATACCCTACATTTTCCAGCAGCTTTCTTAGGAAATACTTGCATATTATCATATAATATAGCAACAACTAAAATCTAACTTTAACTTTTCAATAAGCTTTCCAGTTGACTCCTTCTCACCTGCACTTACACCAAGGGGCTAAGTCAAATGCAAGAGCTGAAGAAGCATGAAAGCAGCCACCACAGCAGACAGCCCAATGAAGACAACCACAACTAAATTAATCCTTAATTAGGGGTTTTCACATTTCAAACTCCACCTTCGAGATTTTAGTCAGCCTCCATCAGCTAGGGACAACTACCACGACCATATCTCAACTATATTCTAAACAGAAAACTCTTCAATATATGAAAAGGAAAGCATTTTCATTTTATTAGGTGAACAGCAAGTACTGAAGACATTTCCTGCGGTGACCAGAATTAACAGCAGAATTACAAGAAAGTACCAAGCTTCCCCGAGAGAGTTCACATGCAGTCAGGAACGCAAGATCAGCAGTCACAACAATGCTTGGCTTTCAACCCATAGAGGTACAGTTTTCTTGTGTTTCATATTAAACAAAGTTAAGCAGACTTCCTGAATCTTGGAAATGTTCATGTTGCTTTTGCATTCAGGCATTAGCATTCTGCATCTTTCCTCAGACATTCCTCTATTTCCATAAGTAAGTCAGTCCACACACTTAGGCCACGGACTTGAAAGTCCCCATCTTGTGCTTTCAGGAGTTTCACAGCAGCCTGTGTCTGTCCCTTGAGTACTGCAGGTCCCTGACAAAGGCAGGTGAAGCGCTCCCTCAACTGTTCCCAGGACAAAGCAGCTTTGTTAGGCCAATTTATAACCCACCGCCCCTGCAAGGGGTCATAGAGCAAATGGCTTCCGCAGCCGGTTAAGAGGTCCAAATAAGGTCTGCTTAACTGGGAATAGTGACCAGCTAGGGAAGCAAGAAGGGATCCTGGGAGGAAAAGGCAGAAGGCAGAGAACCTCTCCTGGTTCCCCAGCAGCCAGGAAAGCAGGGGTCCGGCAACGCACTTGTCTCCTATGGCACTCGCCCAGTTTCCTTCTAGGCTGTTCCCAGCCAGATCCCCGTCTCCAGCCTGGTCAGGGCCGTTCCCCTGCCCCAGCAGCGCTGCCGCCACCACTTCGAAGGCCCGTAGCATGGGGAGCTGCTCCAGCACAGCTGACAGCCAACGCGGCGGCCCCGCGGACTCCTCAGCAGGCTCGGTCTCCTGCCTCTCCTCCCGCAGCCGGCCAAGCAGCAGCTGTGCCTCTGCTTGCAGCTGCGCTTCCGTATCTGCCGGGGGCCGCGGCGGGCCGCTGGGCAGCGCCAGCAACCGGGAGGCAGCTTTCCGGCGGGCAAGGAGTGCCAGGCTGTGGGGCTCCGGGCCGGCCTCCCCGCCAGGAAGCTGCAGCAAGCTATGGAGCAGGCAGCGGCAGGCGGTGGGCGGCAGAGCGCGGTTCTCCAGCAGCGCCAGGCCCAGCAGCTGTGGGCAGCGGCCCAGGTGCGAGAAGCCGAGCGGAGGGCTCGGCTGAGCCCGCCGCAGCCGCCGCCCGAGGACCTCCCGGAGCCGAGGCCGGGTGCGGAAGCGATCGTGGACATGCTGGAAATACCGGGCCCACTCTAGAGCTCGGACCAAGGTCAGGGAGTCCCAGTCCCGCACCAGCGCGGAGCGGGAGCCGGCCAGGAGTGCGGGCAGCTGCTCCACCTGCTCCAGTACAGCCTCCATAGCGAGCAAGCCGAACAGCCCTCGCGCCAACCGTTTGAGCAGAGGTCCTGCCTCCCCCCGGAACTGGGGCCAATCCGAGCCGGAGATGGAGGACATTTGTAACTCTATTGGCTCAGTCAGATGTCAATCTGATGCGGTTTGAGTCTCGGTTAAAGGAGACCTTAACCGCTCTAAGCCCTCAGCGAAAAACGGGAAAGTTGAGCCGAATTAAAGTGTTAAAAACGAGGTAGGACTAAGTTAAAAAAGTCAAACAAAACCGCTAAGAGCCTTAGAATAAACCTGAGAATGATATCTGTAAATGCCCTTTAAAAAGCCCACAGCTCCAGGAGCAAACATCCCCTGCCCTACATTTTGGGGACATTTCCTGCTTTCTGTGGTATGCCCTGTCCCTGGAAGGCAGCCATGACAGAGCATCTTGTGGCACTGGGTTGCCCCCCAGTACTGCCCCCAGCTCAGCACCCTGCCATGGCACAATCCCACTACGCCCACACAGCTGGGCTCACCCTCCTGACGTTCATTAACAGTTTCTCAGGGTACCTGACCTCCCCCTCTACCTGTTCTAGTCCTCTGGTTGATGTAGATACAATGGCTAACATGCACCAGGGCCTTCTGGGCGCTGACACATACAGGGTTTACCACACAGACATCATGGCAGACATGCACCATAACTACTTCTGTCTACAGCCAGGAAAGGACACCCCTTCTCCCTTTCCTGCCTCTGCCAGCTGAAGAACAGTTTTACACTGTGAGCTATTGGTATTGTGTGTAGCTCACAGGAGGTGGCCTACCTGTTGCAGTGACTGTTCCCGGCTGCTTCTCTCATGTCCATTAAGTCCAGGGCTTCTGCTTGGCTGGGAGACAGGTCCTTTGTGTCCTTCCTCATCCCTGTGACAACCCTGCTATGCACAGCACTCCCCCACAGTAGGCAACAGGCAGCGGGGCTTCTAGAACCTTACACAGGTGCCCTCTGTGCTCCTGAGGGGATGAGGGGGCATCACGGCCTCTGGGAGCTGCTGCCTGCCCCTCTGGGACTCCAAAAGCCCCCGGGTTATAAACTTGGACACTCCACGGGTACAGAGGGAGCAGAGAGACCCAGTGAGCCCCTGGAGTATCGCTGGGCCTGGAGCTGGGCTGCAGCAGTGCCCAAGGGAGGAGGCAGTCATCTGAACTGGGCTGCACTGGGCTAGGTGTGCAGTAGTGTTCTGTGCCCTTCTGGTCTATGGAGCTTGTAATAACCTCTCCATGGCTGCAGATTTATATTTCCAGGTATCATTCAAATAATGAATGTGTTCCTCTTGAAAAAAATCTCTTTCAACATTTCTATTAAATATTTCTGGAATGATAAACATGAAATTGGCTACAAGTGGCTAGAAATTTATTGTATTGTTAACAAATTACCTATTACCTGCCTTGTCCCCATATATTCTAAAGCATATTATAAGCTAATACATATTGAAGAGAAGATAGAACATGCAAACTTTTCAGTTGCATGCAGTTGCATGCAACACTTTGGGACATGTTACTTACACACATAAGTGACAGAAACATGAGGTGGTTGGAACATAGAATCACAGAATGGTTGGAGTTGGAAAGGACTTTAAAGCTCATCCAGTTCGAACCCCCTGCCATGGGCAGGGACACCTTCCACTAGACCAGGTTGCTCAAAGTGTGATTACATATTATGTACTTTGGCCTCTCAGTTATGTTTAATCCAGCATCTCTTGTGTTCAGTAGCATAAAGGAAAAAAAAACAACAGTTCAGTACTAGTTTAGTGACGAATATTTCTGGAGTATATGCTTCAAGTCATAAAGAGAAGAAATTTCCCTGTACACCAGAAAACTTCTCACAAGAAGTCTTCCACATTAGTGTTCTTTTCTTTATTGGATAAAGTATATGGGTTTATATCCTGTGAATGTCTCTGTATGTTCCACTTGAAATAAATGAAATAATCTCATTTGCAGCACCAGGAAACTCACAAAACCAAGTTGCAGAAATCTAACCAGACTAGAAGAAACACTGGGTAGTATGGTATATGGAATACTCTTGCATGTGAAGGGAGATGGCTTGTGTGTTCTAATGGATCTCCGCAGACTTGCCTGAAAAACTGAATTTCTGTTCTGTGAAAAACTGATTATTTCAGCGTTCGGTTCTGTCTCAAATTAGGGTGAAAAGTCTAAATATCGGCACTTTTTCTCACAGAGGTAGAGTTTGATATCTCTGTAATAAATGGTTCATGCAAATGTATTTCTAAATATTGAAGTTGCATTTGGAATCTCCAGTCACAATGGAGAGACATAAAATGAAAACAGAGCCTAACCTGGAGAATCAGCAGAGTTCTGCACTAGAAGACAAATTTGCATTAGAAGCATTAGAAGACAAATTCAAGAAACTAAAGTAATAAGGATAATACTGAGACAATTCTGTTTCATATAATGAATTTTTACAAAACAGTAACACTTAAAAACAGTAATTTTTTTTTCATGTTCAACATTGAGGAAATTTCCACACTGAGTTTTGTATCCTTAATTAGGAGCCTAGCCACTCTCAAAAGGCATTTCAGAACCTTCCACTGCAAGACTGAAATCTATTTATCTGTTGACTGATCTGCTGAGAGTGGTGCCATGTAATAATCAAATTAAATTGAAGAAATGTGGTTTGGTGGTGGTTTTGGTTGTTTGGTTGTTTGGTTGGTTTGTTTTGTTTTTGTGGGGTTTTGGGTGTTTTTGTTTGTTTGTTTGGTTGGGTTGGGTTGGGGTTTTCTGTTTTTGTTTTCCCTCACAAGTGACTTATTTTCATGGAGCCTTTAGATACTAGTACTCTTTTTTGTGTGAGCAGTCTTAGTTTTAGTTAAGCAGTAGCTTGTGTAGCTGTATGTTTCTTGTTATGAACAGCAAGACTGCTAAGAATTTGTATTTTGTAGTTACTATCTACTTATGTTAAGTCTCTTGGTACCCAATAGTTTTGCTGAGTTGTCTAGGCATTGTTTAAAAGTGTTTGTACAGAGTTGGTTTTGTATCTGAGGAACATCTATAGGATAGTGGGGAGATATTTAGGAGGTAAATACTGAGCAAGATTGAGGAGGTGAGGGAGAGAGTTAATGTTGGGAAAAGGGATGGGAAAGGTTGGGTCAGGCTCCGGGGAGACACAGTAAGAGCATAGAGATGGTGGGGATAGAATGGTGAGTGGATTTTCAGGTAGCTTTGTGTTTTCTACTTAAATTGACTGCTTTATAAGAAAAACCTTAAAAGTCCATTTCTAGCTCTTGCTAGGGGTATATGAGGTATATGAGTTTGCTTCCTTTATTAGTGAGTCTTTTACTATTTCCCTGCTGTTCTAGGTGTTTGGATGTGTATTTCATTCCATGTAAACTATGTAGTTTATTTTTTTTTCTTAACAAGAAGTGGAACCTATGAAGATATCATAAAAGAAAGTTATATAGATTGTATGTATGAGTGCGTGAGACTTTATGCTATGGAGGATGGGGAAATATTTTGAAGTAGCATTTTTCAGGTATTTTGAAGACTGATTACTTGATTACACAGTCTGAAGAGTCATCTCTTTGTTTTGTCTGAATTAAAAGCAAAGAAGAAAGCAGAAGAGAAAATGGCATATTTTGTATGATAGGCTAGAGCATAGATTTATAATTGCAACTGTATTGTTTAAGCTCTGTTCTATGTGCTTCTTACAAGTAGCTCTGAGAGTGTGAATGGGAGTAGTGTTTTTTGTGTTGTGGGTTTTGGTTCTGTTTGCTTTGTTGCAGAGGGTGTTTATTTATTCTCAATGAAGTCTGATTTTTATTTCAATCTCTGAAATAAGCATTAAAATAAGAAAAGAGAATGTGAGAGTATTCATCTGTCATTGTGTTAAGCTGTAGCAAATATTTCTTCATTTGAGCTTTTGATTGATAAGATACGTGGCAATGAAAGTTGTTGAGCAAGTATGGAAAAGGTCTGTTAGACACGGTATCTGGGAAGTCATTTCCACAGCTCCATGAAAACAAACTTACTTTTCAGTGAAGCACTGCAGAGCGATTTCGCAAGCCCTGCATTTAGTATGAATTACTGCACTGTTTTATCTAAGCTGAGAAGTCAAGTAAAAGATTCATACAAAGTTTTATGGAACCTAGTGAGTTTCTTCACTCTAGTTATGGAGCCAGTAAAATTCACCCTGGCAGGGAATATAAGTTCTGAAGCAAAACTTGTCAAAGTAGCCAGAAGTCTGGATTCCATTGTATTTTCCTTCCTCTCAGAAGCTGTATTGGCTGTAACATGGTATTTCACCTTAATAGACATTTAGGATGCTGTCTACTCAGTCTCTAGTGTTACAAAACTCCAGAATGGTGTTTTCTTAGGTAGGAGGTGTTATTTCAAATTACAAAAATGAATACATTGAGAGACATGTTTGATCATCTGCTAGGTTTCTAGCACTAATGCTCACTTTTCAACTTTAAGGAGGTTTGTTTAGCTGCCTCAAATTGTATGCTAGGCATAAAGTTGCCACACTTATTGTACTGTATATTATGTATGTTGAAGACTCTGAACTTGTGGACCATTCTTGTAGAATTTCTTCCCGCTTCTGTACCAGACTTTGTGGAAGATGGGTAATTAGTCAAGCCAGGACCTGTTGGACTGTATTACCCCTTCCATAACTTATGGTGAGGCTCTTAAATTTTTTTGTCAATGTAATCTCTCATAGTTTAAAAACTAGCAAGGCTGTAGTGGGCTTTTGGAATGAGAACAGATCAAATTGCATAATAAAGGTATCGAACCTACCAGTTTGTACATCAGTGTGGGTCACAGACTGTACAAGAAGTGTATTTGTGGGAGGATTTCATAGAATCATAGAATAGTTAGGGTTGGAAAGGACCTCAAGATCATCTAGTCCCAACCCCCCTGCCATGGGCAGGGACACCTCACACTAAACCATGTCACCCATGTCCAACCTGGCCTTGAACACCGCCCGGGATGGAGCATTCACAACTTCCTTGGGCAACCCGTTCGAGTGCCTCACCACCCTTACAGGAAAGAACTTCTTCCTTATATCCAATCTAAACTTCCCCTGTTTGTTTTAACCTGTTACCCCTTGTCCTATCACTACAGTCCCTA